GATGATGATTGTGATGATTGTGATGATGGGGATGATAATGATGATGGTAATAATGATGACGATGATAATGGTGGTGGTGGTGAGGATGATAATTGTGGTGAAGATGGTGATGATGATGGCGGTGATTATGGCGGTGGTTGTGAGTGTGGTAACGAATTAATGTGATCACGGAAAATGGCGATGATGAGATGAAATTTAATTTAATTTAGGCATGCGTCGAGAGATTAGTAGTTAGTTTATTCTTTTTTTCGTTCTTTCATTCATTCGTTCGTTTGTTTAGTAATTCATTCATTCATTCATCCACTCATTCATTTATTTATTCGTTCGTTCGTTCATTTATTCATTCATTCATTCAGGATTGGCAACTAGACCAGTCTATCTCAGGCAATTCGAACGACTGAAGACAAAGGAGTTGAAAGAAACCGCTAGGATTAGTAGAAGAAGTGATGAATGAATGAATGAACGAATGAATGAATTGTTGAATGAATGAACGAACGAACGAACGAATGAATTAACGAGTGAATGAATGAATGATTGAATGAGGGATTTTAAGAAATGAATATTTTCCAAGGCAAAGGCGTTTCAGTCGATTTTCAAATGCTGAACGAGAAAATCAAAGAAGCCCTTAGTAAATATTTTTATTTGAAAATTAATTTAACGTAATAAATTAAAAAACATTTTTTTTAATTAATTAATTAATTAATTAATTCTTTCGTTCGTTCGTTTGTTTGTTCATTCATTCATTCATTTATTTATTCATTCATTCACATCGAAATATTTGTTCAACCATCCATCCACCCATCCATCCACCCATCCATCCATCCATCCATCCATCCATCTACCCATCCATCCATCCACCCATCCATCCATCCACCCATCCATCCATCCATCAATCCATCTACCCATCCATCCATCCACCCATCCATCCACCCATCAATCCACCCATCAATCCATCCATCCATCTATCCACCAACAGAGCCGTCCACCATAAAATCCAAACTGAGCTTGCCAAGGATCTCATTCAGGCAGCAGCAATCCAGGAAACAATCCTTCCTCAACCGACCAATCAAGGAGCTCGTCGCCAGTGACGTCATCGATGCTAATTTGCTAGTTTGTGGCTGTTGTGGCTGTGGTGGTGACGATGGGGATGTTATTATTATTATTAGTAGTAGTAGTAGTATTAATAATAGTAGTAGTGGAAGTAGTGGTAGTAGTAGTAGTAGTTGTAGTGGAAGTAGTGGTAGTAGTAGTAGTTGTAGTAGTAGTAGTAGTGGTAGTTGGTAGTAGTAGTAGTAGTAGTAGTAGTAGTAGTAGTAGTAGTAGTAGTAGTAGTAGTAGTAGTAGTAGTGGTAGTAGTGGTAGCAGTAGTAGTAGTGGTAGTGGTAGTTGGTAGTAGTTTTGGTAGTAGTAGTGGTAGATGATGATCGTCTTCACCATCATCATCATCATCGTCGTCTTCATCACCACCACCATCATCAGATGATCATAGACACCATATTCAAGACTGGCCCCAGCGACTGCCGAACTTTCGTGAAATCCGGCAGTGAGAAGTTGGTGAGCAGAATCATAGAAGCCATTGACAATGATGAGTTCATAAACTGGGGTGTCTATGATGTTCATGTGCTGGCAGAGGTTTTGAAGGTTGTGATGATGATGCTGGGATGGTGATGATGATGATGATGGTGAGGATAATAATGATAATAATAATAAGAACAACAACATTATAACAATATTGAAACAATAAGAAACAGCAACATCAGCAACAACCACACATAAACAACAACTACAACAGCAACAACAACAAAAATACAGAAATACTTAGGAAATTTGAAGGAATGTCTGGTTACAAACAAGTTAACCGACGATTTCTTGAAAGTTCTCAAAATAAGCAACAAAAATGAACAAAAACATACATTGATCAAGTATGTATGTATGTATGTATGTATGTATGTATGTATGTATGTATGTATGTATGTATGTATGTATGTATTTATGTATGCATGTATGTATATGCATATATGTATGTATGTATGTATGTATGTATGTATGTATGTATGTATGTATGTATGTATGTATGTATGTATGTATGTATGTATGTATGTATGTATGTATGTATGTATGTATGTATGTATGTATGTATGTATATATGCATGTATGTATATGCATATATGTATGTATGTATGTATGTATGTATGTATGCATGTATGTATATATACCATCATAATCGCAACAACCACCATCATCTTCTTCTTCCTCACCACCCACCACAACCCCTCCTAAGATTATTCCAGCTACTCCCCCCAGAGCACTACCTCCTCTGCAACCACATCTTTTCCACCATGCACACGGTGGCTTGGGCCAACGACAAATTCGACTGTGGCGACAGTAGCCGCCACACTGTTGACCGTAGCAGCACCACCAACACCAACCGGACGATCAGAAGTAGTGGTGGTAGCAGTAGTAGCAGGAGCAGTGGCAACTATAGCCACAGATCTTGGTCGGCTTCTTCAAGTGGTAGAAAGAGTAGTAGTAGTAGTAGTGGTCGAGGTGGTAGTGGCGGTAGTGGTAGCGGTGGCTATAATATGAAGCTGCATAGGATTGCTGTCTGCATGGGGCCTTACGTATTCCGCGGGTCTGGAAAGTTTGAGGGAAAGTGCAGATGTGATGAGGTGGAGGAGAGGAGTGAGTTATGATGATGATGGATGGATGCGATGGATTTGCTGATGATGATTATGTTTGTGATCATGTTGTCTCATTCATTCATTCGTTCGTTCGTTCGTTCGTTCATTCATTCATTCATTTACCCACTCGTTTATTTCCAAATTTTTTCATTCATCCATTCATTCATTCAATCAGTTATCCATCCATCCATCCATACATCCGTCCGTCCGTCCATCCATTCATTCATCCATCCATCCATCCAACCATTCATCCAATTATCTATCCATCCATCCATCCATCCACCCACCCATCCATCCATCCATCCATCCATCCATCCATCCATTCATTCATCCAATTAGAAATGGCGAAGAGTTGTCTTAAAAAAGGAGCACTGTTGGAGCTGACGTTGAGCCACTACTTCGACATCTTCGCAACCGCCATCTACCAGATGAAGATGTGGATGTTGCAGCCAGGTCGGTCGGATGAGTGCGGTGGAGGAACGGATGAATGAATGAGTGAGTGAGTGAGTGAGTGAGTGAGTGAGTGAGTGAGTGAGTGAGTGAGTGAGTGAGTGAATGAGTAAAGGAATGGATGGATGGATGAATGAATGAATGAATGCAAGAATGAAGAAAGAATTAGATTCTTCCTATTTTTCTTCTTCTTCTTCTTCTTCTTATTATTATTATAAAACCAGATGAATTCAGGGATAGGATGAGGAAGATAAACCATCCCCTCGCCGGAACCATCCAACCTTCAGTCCATCAGGTCAAGTCATATGACAGCAGGGTGTTCAATGATGTCAAGAAGAAATTAGTCTTCTAATGATGATGACGATGATGATGATGGTGTAACTGTGATGATGATGGTGATGGTAATGATGATGATGGTGATGATAATGATGGTGATGATAATGATGGTGATGATAATGATGGTGATGATAATGATGGTGATGATAATGATGGTGATGATAATGGTGGTGATGATAATGATGGTGATGATAATGATGGTGATGATAATGATGGTGATGATAATGGTGGTGATGATAATGATGGTGATGATAATGGTGGTGATGATAATGATGGTGATGATAATGATGGTGATGATAATGATGGTGATGATAATGGTGGTGATGATGACATCAGTGTAGGCGTTAATTATGATTGAACAGTCTCCGGCTAAAAAATGAATGCACTTAACACTGGTGAACTTAAACTTCGTTATTATTATTATTATCATTACTATTTTTAATAATAATAATAACAATAATAATAATATTAATATTGTAATTATTATAATTTGAATACCCTATTTTTAGAAAAATGTTTTTTTGCTCATTGCAACAACGTCAAAATATATTTTTCGCTCAGAAAAGCAACATCGTCCTTTCTCACCCGACTATTAGTAAAAGAAATCTTCATTACAGGTGACCCCAACGGTAAAGCATATATAACGCGAAATATTTATCTATTATTATAAAAATTTAATTCATTCTGTATCTTAGAAAATATCGCTAAATGCCCGGCCTGAAACCAAGATTAATTAGCGAGTTGGGGGTCAAATGGTGGGCACACACAAACACAGACACCCAAACACAGACACCCAAACTCAGACACCCAAACACAGACACCCAAACTCAGACACCCAAACACAGACACCCAAACACAGACAAACAAACACAGACACACAAACAAACTACTTATGGCTTATACAAATTTCATAGTTGCATAACAAAGAACAAAGAATTTTTACATTTTCTGAAAAAAAACATTTTTTTCTTATCTATGCCTGATTACGTCACGTGTATACAATTGTTATGATTGGTTATTTACAATGGTTTGCAATATAAATAATACCAATGAGCAAATAATTTATTAAAATTATTATGATTATTATGTAATGATATATAATATATAATAATAACAATAATAATAATTATTATTTATTATTGCTTTTTATTGGGAAAATTAAGAAAATATAAATTATATAAAATAGAGAAGACTAACTCTTGCTGAAGATTTTCTAACATGGCCAAAGAAGGTGAATGAGGAATGAATGAATGAATGATGAATGAAAGAGTGAATGAATGAATGATTGATGAATGAAAGAGTGAATGAATGAATGATTGAAAAATTAAATAAATATTCGAGTGTATGTATGTGTGTAAAGTTGAATATATAGATAGACTACTTAATAATTAATTAATAACTAAAATGGGTTTCTGATTGATTGAAGAAATAGATGCATGAAATGAATGAAATAAAGATTTAAAGAAAGATGAAATAAAATAAATGAATGAATGAACACACACCACAAAATACAATCTATGAAATCATATTCAAATCTATCAGATAAGTCAGGTTAAAATTTGATTGAATTATTTTCAAAATTTTCACCAATTCTTATTACAAATTATATAAAATGCTGGAAAATTTTTTAAAAATAACTCAAGTTTCATTCTTTTTTGTACTAAATGATCCTCCCTGCCCTTCTGATCTTGAGCAAAATGTTTCAAACATGGATTCAACCATATTCATGTGTGTGTATGTGTTTGTGTATGTGTGTGTTAGTTATTACACAAGTAGTCAACAACATCATCAACTACGTCAACAACAACAACAACATCAATTACAACAACAACTATAACACCAACAACTGCATCATCAGCAACAACAGATTCAGATAAAAAATCCAAATCAGCCACAACAACTGGTGAGAGTGATAGTGCAAGTGAGGGGGATAAAGATAGAAAGAAGAAAAAAGAGGATCCCAGCAGTTCTGGTAGCGACACAACTAGCAAGAAAAAGACCGACTCCCCAAAGAAAGATCACGATGTGAAGAAAGGGGCTGACAAGCTGATGAAGAAGCCGATACCGAAAGCGAAAGCGGAAGACAAAGCAAAGAGCGATAGTGAAGTGGACAAAAAGAAACCCGCCGGAGATGCTGATAGGAAGAAGAAAGGGGAGCAAAAAGATAAAAAGAGAGATGATGATAAAAAGAAGAGGCCGAAGAGCGCGAGCACAGCCCCCGGTGAAAGTAAGAAGAAGAAAGAGGACAAAAAAGAAAAGAGAGATGATGATGATAAAAAAAAGAGGTCGAAAAGCGTCAGCACTGACGTTGGTGGTAGTAAAAGTAGCGCGCAAACGAGCGACAGCGACCACAAAACTGATAGTACCCTCACTGAATACTTCGATGTATCTATGAGTAAAGTCGTCAAGCCTAAGGCCGCACGTGATGAAGATGCTAGTAAGTTGACTAGCTGGTTGGTTGGTTGGCTGGTGGATGGTTGGTTGGATGGTTAGTTGGATAATTGGTTGGTTGGTTGTTTAAATGGTTGGTTGGTTAGTTGGATGGTTGGTTGTCTGGATGGTTGGTTGTTTAAATGGTTGGTTGGTTAGTTGTCTGGTTGGTTGTCTGGTTGGTTCGTTGAATGGTTGGTAGGTTGTTGGGATGGTTAATTGGTTGATTGGTTGGTCGGTTGGTTGACTGATCGATTGTCATTTGTCTGTTCAATCATTTATCGATTTATATCGTTATCATTCGTTCGTTCGATCGTTCGTTCATTGCTCATTTATTCGTTCGTCTGTTCATTCATTTGTTCACCTCTCATAAATTCGTTCGTTCGTTCTTTCATCTATCTATTCATTATTTCATTAAACTATAGTTCTCAGAAAGGACGCCAGTAAGTGAATATCATCTATTTAGTGATTCAATTATGTGTAATATGAATAAATGATTGAATAAATTATGATAATGTGATGTGTATTAATTATGCACTATGATACCTTAATAAGTTGGAATGGGAAGATAAATGAATAAATTATGATAATGTACTATCAATAAATCATGATATTGTGCTATGAATAAATTATGATAATATACAATCAATCAATTATGATAATGTACTATCAGTAAATTATGATAAATTATTGTGAATAAATTACGATAGTGTATCATGAAAATTATCGGAATGTATTATGATATCTTTTGAATAAATTATGATAATGTATTATAAATAAATTATGCTAATGTGATACAGTAACGAGGGTGGCCATTATAAGGCAGAGAAAAAAAGACAAGTCAGAGGCTGATTATGAACGAATGATGCTGCTGAAAAAACTGAAGAGGAAGAAAAAAAGACTAGGTCGGTTCTGGTAATGATGACGATGATGATGATGACGATGACGATGATGATGATGATGATGATGATGATGACGATGATGATGATGACGATGACGATGATGATGATGATGACGGCGCTGATGGTGGTGATTGTGATGATGACGATGATGATGGTGTTGTTGTTGTTGTTGCTGCTGATTATGATTATGATGACGATAATGATGATGATGACTTTAAAATAAAATATTGACATTTCTTCAAATTACTGTAGATTCCGATGGTTAGTCTTAACATCAAAACATAATAATAAATAATAATAAAAAAAATAATAATAATAAATAATAATAGTAATAGTAGTAGTAGTGTTGGTAGTAGTAGTAGCAGCAGCAGCAGCAAGCAGCAATAGTAGTAGCTGTAGTACCAGTACAACTAAAAAGAGTAATTAAATAAGTTTAATGAGTGAATCACCAAGATGTTAATTTTTACTTATTAACGTATTTTGTAACGTAAATATATAGTAATATTGTTTGAAATAATAACTATATTATTATTCTTATTATTATTAGTTGCAGTAGTAGTAGTAGTAGTAGTAGAAGTAGTATTAGTAGTAGAAGTAGCAGTAGTAGTAGTAGTAGTAGTAGTAGTAGTAGTAGTAGTAGTAGTAGTAGTAGTAGTAGTAGTAGTAGTAGTAGTAGTAGTGGTAGTAGCAGTAGTAGTAAATTTAGTTGAAACGTAAATAAAAATTTTTAGGACGAAGATTCAAAATGAGTATTTTTTTTTAAATTTTCAGAAAGTCTTGACGAAACTGGAAGCTAGTAGTAGTAGTAGTGGAAGTAGTAGTAGAAGTAGTAGTAGTAGTAGTAGTGGAAGTAGTAGTAGTAGTAATAAGAATAGTAGTAGTAGTAGTAATAGTAGTAGTAGTAGAAGTAGTAGTAGTAGTAGTAGTGGAAGTAGTAGTAGTAGTAATAAGAATAGTAATAGCAGTTGTTGTAGTAGTAGTAGTAGTAGTAGAAGAAGTAGTAGTAGTAGTGGTAGCAGCAGTTGAAGTAGCATTAATTGTAGTAGCAGCAATGGTAGTAAATTTTTTAACAATAGTAATATTACTGGAGAAGATGTGAATGATTAAATCCCTGATGTAAATGATGTTACTTGTTAGGACACTTTTCACGGTCAAGATCTGGCGGTTCTGGCTATAGCTCAACCGGTTGGACTAATCAAACATCTAATTTTTTTTTTATAAAATAAAATATCTTTCAAAAAATAAAGTTTTTAATAAACAAAATAACATTTCATAATTCTAGTATTAATTTTCAGCAGTGGTTGTAGTAATAGAAAAGTAGTATTAGTAGTAGTAGTAGTAGCAGTAGTAGTAGTAGTAGTAGTAGTAGTAGTAGTAGTAGTAGTAGCAGTAGTAGCAGTATTAGTAGTAGCAGTAGTAGTAGTAGCAGTATTAGTAGTAGCAGCAGTAGTAGTAGCAGTAGTAGTAGTAGTAGTAGCAGCACCAGTAATAGTAGCAGTAGTAGTAGAAGTAGTGGTAGGGGTAGAATATTTATAAAGGAGGGTTTTATGTCTTATATAGGGCATACCAAAGGACTTGGAAGAAGGACTGATCGTACGTTTTGTTTTACTTCTTCTTTTTTTTGTTTTGAAAACATTCCAAGCGTTCTCCATTCGTTCATTCGTTCGTTCGTTCATTCGTTCATCCATTCATTCAAATTCATTCATTCAAATTCGTTCATTCAGATTTTTTCAACTCCATGTATCAATCCACCCTTTCATTCATTCGTTCTTCCTTCTGTTAATTAATTCATCCATTTATCCATTCATCTGTCTATTCGTTCGTTCATTCGTCCATCATTCACTCAGTCATTCCGTGGATCCAGAAACTCCCGACAAAATACATGGACAGTATAAGTGAGCGATTTTTTTGAAACCGCTCCCCGAAAGCCGTTTAAATAATTAATAATAATAATAATAATTATTATTATTTTTATTATAATTATATTGTTATTGTTGTTATTATTGTTGTTATTATTATTATTATTATTATCATCTACCATTTTCTTCGAATTCACTGCAGTTGGGAAGAAATTAGGTTTGAACGTAAAAAAAATTTTATGACGACGGCGATGATGATGCTGATTATGATAATGATACTACTACTACTACTACTGCTGCTGCTACTACTACTACTGCTCCTGCTGCTACTGATACTACTACTACTACTGCAACTATTACTACTACTAATAATAATAATGTTGATGATGATGAGAGTGATGATAGTAGTGATGATGGGGATGGCGATGATGATTATAATTATGGTACTACTACTCTTTCTACTACTAATAATAAAAATAATGATGACGACGATGATGTTGGTGATGATGACAATGGCGAAAGTGACGATGAAGTCATCTCCATCCCACTTTCCACCGAACCAGCCAGGATCACACTGGCCAAGACTCTGGCGATGGTACTCGAGAGGGCGATATTGAAGTTCAACTCAAACATCGATGGAGGTGATGATGACGATGATGAATGACGACGACGATGATGATAATGATGTTGCTGCTGATGATGATCATCATTATCAGTATAATCGTACTCTATTACTATTCCTCCTATAATCTTACCTGAATTAAAAACTCTTGATATTTCTCACAAGTTTTGTAGTCTAGGCTCTACCTTTGATTCTAGCATGTCTCTCTCTTTTCAGATTAATAGAGTTGCTAGAAGTTCTTTCTTTCATCTACGTAAAATAAAAATATTTTTGCCTTTTCTTGACAATCCTACTCTTCTCCTTCTTGTTACTTCTCTATTTTTTATCTAGAACTGATTATTTATTGTAACTCGCTCTAATATGGTCTTCCTGATTCTATACTCTATCCTTTAAGTAAAGCTTTTAACTCTGCTGCTGTTTTAGTAGCTAGTGCCCCTTTTTTTTCTCATATATCTCCATATCTGGCTACCTATAAAATATAGAATAATTTTTACCATTTGCACATTTGTGTATAAGTCTCAATCTAAATTCTTTCCTAAGTACTTATCAAATATATTAATTGAACCTAAACGCCCGGTTTACGATCGTCTTCTTGTTCTCACTTCTTCTTAACTCGTGTTAAACACTCTTTGC